GGAGGGGTTCTCACTAGAACCCTCCCCTATATATATATATATATATATATATATATATATATATATATATATATATATATATATATATATAAGAGATCACATACTAACCATGCTTAAAATACTAACTTACTAACTCAATAATATGCAACACATTGAACTTCAATATGCAGTACAAATAATGTAAAGATGCACACTGTGAATTTCAATATGCAATAAAAACAATATGCAAAACTTTGAACTTTAATATGCAGTACAAATAATATGCAACACTTTGAACTTCAATATGCAGTACAAATAATGTAAAGATGCACCGTTTTTGATAGTTTGTAGGTTAGCATGGGAGGAATGGTTAGTATGTGATCTCACCCCTATATATATATATATATATATATATATATATATATATATATATATATATATATATAGGGGGAGATCACATACAAACTCCTCTTCCGGTACAAAGTGCAAAACAATCTGGGCCGTTCATTTACAAAAAATGGAGAGTCATCCGTCCGCGGTGCATGTTAATAGACGTGGACTACAATGTATAGAATTGTATCACAAATTCGTTCTACAACCCATCGTCTATTCCCAAGGTTAGTACAGTAAAAATTACAAAATCAATCCCAAGCATCGCTTCTTATATTTGGAAATACATAAATTACACGATCCCTGGTTCTACGCTAATCATCCCTTGATGCATTAACCGTCCAAGTATAAAGAATTTAAAAAAGGTAAGTTGCAGAGTCCATCTCAATGGAAGTCGACCATCAAGACACTCGTAGGCGGGTGCATAGCTTTTACAGTAATGTTTCTGGTGAAGAATCAATGTCCAATCCTAAAAGATTCAAGGGTTTCTCTACAAGAAAAACATATGAAGAGGGAAATAGCAGGAACCCTGAGGATGAAATTCGTTTGAAACTCACCAAAGTGCATGTGTGTGCTTCAGAGTGCTATGCAATACTAGGGTTTATTTTGTGCAAGTGTTTGTAAAAAAGATGCAATAGAATGTTTGATTCTGATTGTGTTTTTTAGATATTAGGTTAATAATTAGGAGGTGAGTGGTGATGGACAATGAGACATGAAATTCATCTAAAATCTAAATGAAATGAGTTGATGTGCATACATTGTTCTGATTAGGGGAAGCTTAAACTATATGTAAATTAATGTGACATGGTTGCAATACATTTTAATCTAAGGTGCATATAAAGACAATGTACGATGCAATAAATTGTTGTATGAGCTGCATATTGTAATGGTATATAGCTACCACAAATGTTGAAATCATTGAAGTGATTGAAAATAATTCCCTGTAAAAGGGACATATGTGTACTGTTGTTGGTACAGTATTAGATTAAACTTAATTAACAGGTTATAAACCCAAGTACTACAAAGGCATGAAGCAGACTAATATGGTGGATGTATTAAAAATATAAATGGGTGAAGTCAATATTTATTTTATGAGTAGATCGAGAACCATATCATGCATATACGTGAATTTAATAATGCATTTAAGTGTGAAGAGAAGTGTATATTGTAATGTAATTTGGATGACAATAAAGAAATTGTATAGAACAACGCATTATTGGTCCAACATTTAATTTTCCATTAGCGATTGTATTATGCATACAAATGTAACTAATAATGCATATAAGTTAGATGAGAAGTGCATCTTGTAATGTGTGTATTAAGGGTTCGAGATGTGCATTATATTATATATTTATCATGTCTTCATAACTTATATTAAAATTACACAGTGATAAAACATGTCTATGTTGCATTTTAGTAGTTCATATCTTGCATTTTATCGTTTGGATATGTGCATTTTAGAAGTTCTTACATTGCACTTTAGTGCGTAAGTTGATATGTGCATTTTAGAAGTTCTTACATTGCACTTTAGTACGTAAGTTGATATGCACACTTTAAAATTTCATACTTCATCTTATTGTGCATTTTAGAAGCTCTTACATTGCACTTTAGTACGACATTTGCATTGTAATAGCTCATATTGTGCATTTTATCCTTATACCATGTGCATTTTAGAAGTTCGTATATTGCACTTTAATAAGAATATAAGATACATGTGCATCGTAGAAGATCATTTGATGCATCTTATAATTATGATATTTGCATTGTACACACAAACAATATGCATATGAAATTTTTGCATACTAAAACCACAAGATATTCGCATAAACACTAAAGTGTTGAATTGATACAAAAACAAAAACCAAAATAAAGAAAATAAAAAAATCCGGCATGCACATCGGACTCCATGGCATTCGAGAACTGACTTTCTCCTTGTGTGTTCCGGAATCCATGGCCTTCGAATATAAGAACATCAATCAGATTCTATTAGATTTGAGAAGAAGATCAAAATGGAGATGGAGATGGAAATGAAAAGAATCTTAGTTATCCTGGAGTAATTGTGTACTGATGGATGAAGACAATCGTAGAGATGAAAGCAGAAGTATTGATCACAAATGGAAGCCGATGAAGAGACCCATAGAGATAAGAGCATGAGTATTGATCGCAGTAAGAAGGAACGAAATTAATGGAAAGAAATAGATAAGGAAACTCTAAGACGTGATCTTCTTTCCATTATTAAAAATAGACTATATTACTAAAATACCCACAATGGAAATCAGCTTATTGTCTTCAATTAGTAACCACCGAACAGTAATCTCCATTAAATGGACGGCTAGGATGACTTTGTATTTTGTAAATTAGGAGGACTTTCTATATATATATATATATATATATATATATATATATATATAGAGGAATGTTCATGTCAGGCCGGCCTGACGGGCTGCTCCGTCCGGCCGAGCCCGTTTGGGCACCTTCCTGGTGGAATTTTTTGATGAAATTTTTTGAGCATGTTCCTCATCAAGTCTAGTTTGTCCATACCAAATTTCAGCTCAAAATTCGATCGGGAAGGCATTCAAATCATTTTTTGAAGTTGACTGCAGTTTTATAAGTATATTTTGACGCAGTCAACTTCAAAAAATGATTTGAATGCCTTCCCGATCGAATTTTGAGCTGAAATTTGGTATGGACAAACTAGACTTGATGGGGAACATGCTCAAAAAATTTCATCAAAAAATTCCACCGGGAAGGTGCCCAAATGGGCTCGGCCGGACGGAGCATCCCGTCAGGCCGGCCTGATGAGAAGAGCACTATATATATATATATATATATATATATATATATATATATATATATATATATATATATATATATATATATAGGATCAAATACAAAGTCATCTTAATTTACAAAGTGCAAATTAATCCTAACCATCCATTTTAATGAGATTATATTGAGATTACCGTGTATTAATTTGGAAGTTCCCAAAAACTCTCCATAATTGGCTAACCGTATGCAATTGACAAAAAAATAGGGATTACTTCCCCACATTAACGGCTGATGGTTATGGCCCAATGAATTGTTACCATTGATTTTGTAATTTTAGACGGATGAGATGAATTTGTATTTTTTACGGGAAGCATGCTTTGTATCCGATCTTGACCCTATATATATCGCAAATTATACCCTACGACCTGCACACCATGAGGATGGTGTGCTCGGTGGTTTTTATTTAAAACAGAGAGAGCGGACTCCAAATTGAACTCCAACGTCCGTCATCCCTGGGTCGCAGAGCACTGTTCTTCTCCTTGTCGTGCTTCTCCTTCCCAATAGATATCCCAAATCTATGCCGTCTTCAAATAGCTAGAATCTCGAAATTAAATTTAGTAGAACTATATTGCTATTCTCAGAAACGATGATGCTACCAATATTAATTTCCTTTATTTATTAAAATATGAAAAACATGATCAGAATTTTTTTTTATAACATATTTTTTACATGTTGAAGATGACCCCCTATAAATTATTTTAGACCTTACTCAACTTACATCTTGCGCACACTCAAGTTACATCAGGATTTGCTTAAGTTCCATATCTTATATTGTGAGTTACATGTCAACTTTTCTTAGCAACTTACATCCTGTTTACATTTGAGTTACATTTTCCAAAACACGTGTTACATCAGAATATAATGCGAGTTACACAACCCAATAAGCCCATGCTATTCAAATAAAAACTTTTTTTTATAAAAAAATCATTTTTATAACTTTGATATTAAAAACAAAACATATATACACTCTTTATATGTAACATAATTGGACAATTAGACTCTTTATTTTCATTGAAATCAAATTTTATTTCTTATACTATGTATTTGACAAGTTACATTTCAACTGGACTTGAGTTACATTTATCAATAACGCGAGTTACATTTCATTACACACGAGTTACATCACATTCTGTTCCTGAACAATGAAAACAAAAAAAAAATGGTTACTGTTCACGCGCGTGAACAGTAACACGCAAATTTTTAGGTTGGAGCAGCATGCTTCAAACGACGCCGTTTTGGGCACAGGAGCATAATGCTCATGCTGCGCCGGTTGCATCGTATACGCACTATATATATATATATATATATATATATATATACACACACACAAATGATCCTGTCCGGACGTCCGGACAGGAACCGCCGTCCGGCCGGCGGCGTTTGGCCGCCTTCCCGGTGGAATTTTTTGATGAACTTTTTATGGCATGTTCTCCATCAAGTCTAGTTTATCCACAAAAAAATTCAGCCAAAAAATCAATCGGGAAGGTCGTCAAATGATTTTTGCAAGTTAACTGGTCCGGAATATGTATTCTCCGGACCAGTTAACTTGCAAAAATCATTTGACGACCTTCCCGATTGAGTTTTTGGCTGAATTTTTTTGTGGATAAACTAGACTTGATGGAGAACATGCCATAAAAATTTCATCAAAAAATTTCACCGGGAAGGCGGCCAAACGCCGCCGTCCGGACGGCGGTTCCTGTCCGGACGTCCGGACAGGATCATTACTATATATATATATACTAGTATTTGTACCCGTGCCGTGCACGGGATAAAGACTATGTTGGGATATCAGCGGTGTTAGAGATATTTTTAGTGTTGTGATCAATGTATTTTATATAGCCTCTTGGTAGTATTTATTGTGTATTTAATAGGCCTTAAATGTAAAAGGCTACTAAGCTAAATTAGGAATGGGCCTCCTAAAAAGGAGAGCCCATATCATTGTAAAACCTACCATTCTAAGGAGGCTATAAATAGACCCCTTAGGAATGGCTAGGTTAAGCTTTCCTCACTCAGAAATATTCCCTGCGCATAGAATAGAGCCTACAGAAGTTTTACGCTACATATTCTTCATCTTTATGTAAACTTTCTGGCTATCAATGGAAAGCTTCTTCTACTCCTATTAATCAGATCTTATACATTATAGAGTAGAAATAGGGACCAACAATTGGTATCAGAGCTAAGCGTGTGACCGATTGAAACTTCTGCAAATTTTTCGATCGATTGAAGACAGAAGAAAACTCTTGCGCGAAACTTTTCGGAGAAGTTTTTGCTTCTTGCGCGATTTTCTATACTGTTTTTGCTGTCATTTTTGCAGGAAAATGTGTACAGGAAAGTGTTTATAGGCTTGCAAGGATCTGCTCTGTGAAAAATCTCGCCCAGAAAGTTGGCGTACAGGTTAAGCTGGACTAGAGCGATTCTGCAATTTCGCACAACTCGCTGAAAAGACGAACATATTTAGCGCAAAACAGCTCCTGCGCGATTTCAGCTTCGCGCAACACTCCTTGCGCCATCTTGGAGTTGAGCGATCCTCCATTTGAACGATCTCTTGACTTGAGCGATCTTTGGAGTTGCCCCATTTCAAAGTTGAGAGATTTTGGAAGTTGAGCGATTTGGACTTTTGCGTGACATCGAGAGTTGAGCGATCTTAAAATCGAGAAGGGGCTTGCGCGATTTCAGTTTCCTGCGCGATCACAGTCCCCTTGCGCGATTTTCCAGTTTGTGCGCGATAAGGCCTGCGCGATCACAGTCCCCTTGCGCGATTTTCCAGTTTGTGCGCGATAAGGCCTGCGCGATTTCCCTTTCTTCTTGCGCGATCCGGATACTCTGTTGCGCTATTTTCCCTCTTTGCCCGAAACGAGTTGCGCGATCTACTCTTTTTGCGCGATCATAGCCCTGCGCGAAAGTACTGTGTTGCGCGATTGACAGGTTCTGCGAGAAAGCCTTGCGCGAAGTTCTCTTCGGAGCAAATTAAATTTAAAAAAAAAAGGGAAGGAGGGGCAAAACTGTCTTTTGAGACCCGACAAATTTTGCGGCTATCGTGTCCGCAGGTCGCCCGCGCAGGGGGGGTGCGAATTTTCAGTTTTGAACTTCAAGCCGAAATCCCCTGTGCGCGAGAGCTCCCCTCTTCTCCTTCACCATTTAATCTTAAGGAATGAGTGTTCCATATATATAGGCTCCAAAAGTCTCTTGGAGTTTAGGTGTGGGATAAGTTAACAAGCTTACTTTTCCCTTCCCTTGGAAGAGTACACTTTTTGCACTTACCCACTTCAAGAGCTAATTGTGAGCCCAATTCAAACCTTGTGGTCAAACTCCAAAACCAAAGGTCTACACTTTGTCAAAACTTCAAATAGTCAACCTTGGGAGAAAAAAAAAAAGAAAAAAAAAATTAATTAATTAAAAAAAAAAAAAGTCAAAAATCTCAAGGTTAAGACAAATTTTTCTCAAAGTCAAAGCTACATTTTCAAGAGCCACTAACCTGCAGAAAAACTTCAATCAACCACACGTCAACGATCAACATTCAACAATCAATCATGACTACCCCAACCGCTGCTGATAAAGTGACTGCCCTCTCTGCTAAAAACAAGAATGCAGACAGCGCTGTAAGCACTTCTAATCCTTTTGCTTATACTTGCTCTAGAACTGACCCACACGATAGAATTAAGGAGCTCGAGGAAAAATTTAATACGGGATTTAGTGTGTATAACAGACTACGTATCAATTCAGAGAAAATCATCACTAAGCTCACAACTGAAAATAAGAGACTTAGTGCTAGCGAAAAAGAACTGACAGAGAAGCTTAGAACAACTGAGAAAGAGAGAATTAGACTTTTTGGTGTCAATAATTTACTTATGGAAAGAAGGGGTGCTCTTTACACCAAAATCAAAGAACTCGAAGACCTGTTAGCCAAGAGAGACCAAACAGACCAGACTATTTTCCTTAACCAGCCTAAGGACACTCGTTTCTATAACGCCAAAGAAGGCTTGGGTTTGACCAATCCTCAGAACCTGAAAAAGGTCAACTGTAGACAACTCTATGATGTTAGATACATGAAAATAGGATTGACCAAACTCATGGCCTTCACTGGAACTGAAGAAACGAATGCCCTTGAGGATGAAAAGAGAAAGACAAAGGCTGGTGTCGAGGTTCCTTTTGACTACACAGAGTTAAACAAGAGTTACAAAACAAAAGAGCCCCCTTTGACTCCTGCTGATGAAGTCATAACTTATGCTCCAGAAAAGGAAACTGTGCAAGATGGAGAGGAACCTTCAACTTTAGAACCTGTAGTCAAACCAGCATACATTCCACCTCTTGTGAGAAAGTTTGCTGAGTTAAAAGAATCTTTCGATAAAGAAAAACAGGTTTTTGAACTTGAAAGAGATCAACTTTTGAAAGAAATATCCATGTTAAAAACATCCTCTCAGTCCATCACAGTTTCTCAACCCTCTTCCCACTCTTCCTCAGAAAAATGCTTAGAAAATTCAACCAACAGTTCTAAAACTTCTTCCACTCACTCTGAGCCTCCTTCTCAGACCGGAAACCATGTGAAGAAGAGAGTTGAGAAGAGAGGAGAGTGGATCGAGGAGAAGTTAAGAAGGAGGAAGAAAGAAGAAGAATCTCATCTAGGAAATAAAAATCAACGTTCGAGTGCTTTGTTTTACGTAAAGAATAAGTCTAGATCTGGCATTAGTGAGCTTTCAACTAGTAGTACTAGAAGTGGTGTTCCTAGGAATTTCCTAAGCGAACCCTCGACTAGTAATGCTAAAAGAGTGGCTCCTAAGTGCTCTAGTTCTAAGACATCTTTTAAGAATTGCTACTCTAGTACTTGTTCTCTGAATTGTGTTAAGTCAATGAAAGTTTGTTGTTTTGATTCTGATTCCTTCTCCAACAAAGATAAGAATGTGAATGTTCAGAGATGCCCAAAGAAATCAACTTCTGTGAAGGTGAACGTTGAGGGAGAGTACAAATTACCTTGTTTAAAGTATCCCCTCAAGGTTCACTCACTTAAACATTTGAAAAGACTCTCTCAAGAAACAATTTTAAAAGATCATCTGTCTGAACATTCACTCACTGTTAATGAAATCTCCCTTGCTCCAAAATTCAAACAACAATGGGTTCCTAAGGCCGAAGCTGAAAAATTAAGAACGCCAAACACTTCTCAATCAGCTGGCCTAGGTTCCCAAATAAAACAAAAGCTGAAACATTTCTTTGACATTGATAAGGAAGGACCCACTTGGAGGTGGGTACCGAAATGTACTTAATCTGTTTTGCAGGTCCGCCATGTGTGGTACCTGATCCGATTGCTCCACACACATGGCGGGTGAGAAGAGCTGTGAGCAATCAATTGGTGCACATTATTAAGGGGAGTATTGGCATGTATACTACCCCCACTGAGCAGAATATCAACAAATGCACACCTCAACACCAACACATGCCAAGAAGAAACAACAAGTGCTTATTCTGAGGGGGAGTGTTTCATTTTCACTCCTCCTGGTGCCTTACAACGAAGAGAGCACATATCAAGGGGGAGTTTTCTACTTTACTCCCGGGTGACAAACAACACCTTGCACATTCTGAGGGGGAGTTACATTTTTCTTCTCCTGGCGTCAATCAAAGATCAATGCAAGACAAACCAAGGATGTCATGGCAGAACTAGTAACAATCAAGACCGTCTACGGGATCCAGAACTGGTACCCCATCAAGGAGAACAACTCGAAGTTGGACCCAAAGGTCTTATCCTGCCATGATGATGTCATGGTGGCTGTTTTGACAAGGCGCAAAATTTAGAAGGCCCTGAACAAAAACTACGGAAGCACCAGAGGTGTATCTCTAACAATTCTGGAGAACACTCAACTAAGCAAGAAATGCCTCTGGTGCGAGAATTCTGAAAGCCACCATTGACGACACCAAGGTGACCAACACCAAAGAGTTCATGCATCAAGTGCTCCAAACTCAAGAATTGATAATGGGACGGAGTTCAAAAACAAGGAGCTGACCGAGTTCTACGAAGATCGGGGAATTACACAACAGTTCTTTGCAGCTAAAACACCACAGCAAAACGGAGTTGTAGAACGATGGAACAAGACCTTGGTGGAAGCAGCCAGAACCATACTGATACAGTCAAAGCTTCCTCATTTCATGTGGGTTGAAGCTATCAACACGGCTTGCTTCACAAAGAACTGGATGGTGATTCACAGACGATTTGACAAGACACGCGATGAGATTGTGTTCAAGCAACTCCCTGACATTGCCTTCTTCCGTGTCTTTGACTACAAGTGCTACATTATGAATGATAGGGATGCTAGGGGGAAGCTTGATCCGAAAGCAACTGAAGACAAAGAGGCTCAATCATCTTCTGAAGTAGGAGGACAGGGAGACGAGACAAGATCGGATGAGCACGTGGTATTAGATCCTCTGTTCGAACACTTTTACAGTCAACCACATGCATCACCAGCTACTACCGCTACAAATTCTCAGACCTTCCTGTTATATGCTCCCACCGCAGAGAAAACACTCACTCCCACTCAGAATGATGATGAGCACACAGATGACGAAGCTGAATATGAACCATCTACCCCGCATAATGATCAACCTGAAGCAACTGCAACGCAAGAAACCCCAGGGGCACAACCAGATCAAGAATACACTGATCCAGATCATTCAATTATAACTCCACTACCTCTACAACATGAGAGAAAGTGGACGAGGGCACATCTGCCAGAACTAATAATTGGTGATCCATCAAAATGAATCAGTACCAGAACCGCTTCAGCCAATGAGTGCTTATATTCATGTTTCCTGAGTCAGAAAGAATCAACAAATATGACTGAAGCATTGGCTGATCCGGATTGGGGTGATTGCAATGCAGAAAGAGATGAACCAGTCTGAAAGACTGAAAGTTTGGACACTGGTGCCTATGTCTTATAGAAAAACCATTATTGGCACCAAATGGGTATCCAAGAACAAGAAGGATGAGGACGGTGTGATTATCAGAAACAAGGCCCGCCTGGTAGCAAAAGGTTACAATCAACAAGAAGGAATCGACTACGATGAGACCTTTGCACCAATGGCGAGGATTGAGGCCATCAGATTATCTCTTGATTATGTTGCTCACAAAAGATTCACCGTCTGTCAGGTGAATGTAAAGACTGCATCTCTGAATGGAGACCTGAAAGAAGAGGTCTATGTAGCACAACTTGATGGATTCGTAGATCCCGAATGCCCCAAACCCTAGAACAAGTTGAATACGATGAATTGGCCAATAAAAAGACATCATGAAAGAAATGATCATGTTAGGCTATGCTATGCCGATCAAGCTCATCTCCCAGGTCAAACCCGACAGACTACCACGACCATGGAGGACTCTGATGGCAACCTTGAACAAGTGCTGCATTGCCAAACACCATAGCTTCGACATGTGTATCATCTATCTTCTGACTGCCTTCCATGGTGTGGCATTCAACAAAAACGACGATTTTGTCTCGCTGATCTGGGACGACATCAGGAAGAAGAAAAACATTGGTTCTGAAGATGCGACGTGTCTCTAGAACAACTCCAACTATCCACCAAAGACTATCTACTGAGATTCTGAGAACGTCAGCACTCCATCCCTCAAGTGCATTCAGATGGTGACTGAGGATCCTACACTCTTACCATTCACCATACTTGTGTCTTTGCTGCAGCTAGCTAATCTGAATGATCCATCTGTCTGACGCTACTGCTAGAAGAACAATATCATACTCCCTATGGCTCAGATAAACCCCCCTGAGCCTACCCCGGGGAGTCAGCCGAGAGATAGTGAGGGTCCTGAGAGTTCTACCCAGCCACAAAGACCAGTGGCAAGTCGGCCCCATGATGATCAGACTACGTCTGCTGAGGGCCAACCCCAAGTTGCTGAGGAGATTTCCCATGATTCGCCAAGCGTAGCCAGAACAATAAACGCTGACGATGAGGGCTCCGGTAGCAAGGCTAACAAGCGCAACAAAGTCAACAAGGATGATGAGATTAATGATGATGCGGACGACAACGCTAATCAAGCCAGGGAGCCTCCGGTACAAAAACGCCGACTCATTATCAGGCTCCCCACGGAAACAGAAATAGAGGCGTCTTACTCACAAACAAGCAAAGAAGGAGATATCATAAGTGAGACGCGCTCCAAGCATCAAAATGACATACTTCCTCATCATTCACTCTTACATAGAGAATACAAACCGCAAGCAGCCTGACCAAAGAATTAGCCATGTTTGACGAGTGTACAAACCTAGATGTAGTAAACCGGACTGACCCCATAGGAGCAGAAGCTGACTTTCTCAGTTTTCGAGTAGAAGACGCAGCATCTAGTCCAACTGCGCATGCACAAGCCACACCTAGCCACTCTGCTGCCTCCCAACAGGTAGTAGTTTCACAAATAGGGGATCATATACCCACCTCTCTGCCCCCTTACGGAGCAGTTGGGGACAAACATAGTGGTCTATCACCCCGGGCCACTACCCCTTCTTCAATCACATTGAGTCTAGGTGTCACACTCCCTACATTTTCAACTTTTCTAGGACACATACACTCCTCACACAACCACATCTACAGGTCCACTTTACCTGTCATCAACGATCGGAGATAAGTCGATGATGATCGGAAGTCCTGCTGCCCAACAGATAACTCAATCATTATTATCTGCAGGCCACACATCGGTAATTTTTACTGATGTTGTGACAACGGTTATTACCCCTGTAACCGGAAACCCTGACCTTACCGACTTTTTAGTCTTTTTGCAGCGTTTCATGGATTCCACCATTAAGCCATGGGTGCACGAAGCAATAACCGCTCGGGCACAGGAATTCACGAACACCCCGACGCTGTTTAACGACATCATCCAACCTCAACCATCATCCTCACACTCTTAACAACAACTTACCCCTTTCCTTACACGTCAAAATTCTGAACCCTCCACCACACAACCTACCACTCCTACCACCTCAAGGGGAACCCAGGATACAAAACTAGTGTCCTCCCCTATATCGACCACACCCTACCCTAATCCACGCACTATGGTTTTCGAGGAACTCCAATCTATTATGCTAGCAAGAAACCGACAGCACATGCAGTGACAGTCTCCGCAGTCACAAACGTTCGCATGAGGACCCTGATGATTCGGATCCTCATGAGGGGGAGAACAAGAGGCAGCGGACACTTGAGCATGTTGCATCAACTAGCCAACAACCACAACTTGAATCCTCTAACAACCAACAACCCCAATCATCTAGCCAACCCAAAAGCCATACCACTCAGGAGGTTGAGCTGCGCGAAATACGGATAAATGCAAGGTTTCTCTCAAGGATGCACATTTTTAAGGGGGGTTCTATTTTCTCCTCCCGGTGACGAACAATGACAAAGCATACCGAGTGCTCCAGTTGAGGGGGAGCACAGAGAGAAAATAAACAAGATCAATGAGAGAGATGTCCTAATGGCTTAGTAAACCCAACTAAGCCTACCCAAGGGACAAAGCCGAGAGTGAGTGAGTAACTGAGTGAATATTATGAGAGTGAGGAAGCAGAAGGCTCCGTTGAGCAAGAAGACAATAATCAATGACAAATCTGCTACCTCAAATGAGCTATCAATCGAGGAATCAATCCCAGTCACTCAAATACTCCGGACAATCCCCATAGGTTCAGGACTGAATTTATTCAGATCCCGGGTAGAAGTCGCTGCATTTTGTCCAAACAGCGCGTGCACAACCCTACCCTAGACCACTCACTTGTCTCCCAACAGACAGGTGTTTAATCACTGTTCGCGGGGAACCTCATCTCTTATCACCGTCTTCTTCTGAGGCGACTGATACTGACTACAGTGGCCCTCAGCCCCATGCCACTGAACTTTCATTGATCACGTTGTGTCTAGTTATCTCACTCCTAAATGTTTTGAATTTTCTAAGACACGGACACATTTTTAGAGTCAGTTGCAGGTCCAAGTGACCATGCGAGAACTTCCATAGGCTCATCTTCTATAGATGCAGACCGATGATTGGATGGAAGTCCTGATGTTGCAACATAGAAATCACCAACATTTTCAGGCCATCATTTAGAGTTCATCTCTATAGTGATGATAACGGGTGTCTACATGATCCCGGGGGGCTACAATTATCCATGCTGATCCTAGTGATCATGCCATAACGACCAGAGTGACATCTACTTCAGATGTTTCACATGATTGGTTGGAAGTCCTGTTAGAGCTACAACGTTTCTATCATTATATACAGGCCACACATCGGTGTTTACATTGATGTTGTGTTAACGGAACACCACAGTGTCTTCGGTCCTTATCCTTTCATTTTTTTTCCATTTTCTGTTTTCCAGAATAAAAGAATAAAGGCATGACATCCCGATTCATTGGATTGTCCTGAGGGGGAGAGTGGTCCACATCTTGTTTACTCTCAAAAATCATTCCCGGACACTTTTCTCCTCCAGCTCAAAAACAATGGCTCTCCACTCTTTCAGATTTATCAACTGCCAAGTCAGCTTCAGATCTAATGGTCAGCTATGCTCACAAGTCAACCATCATTTTCCGCTGTGCCACCGACAACTGTTCCTCAAAAGCATTCACAATCGAATAGTCAGAAAAGGCTACATTCTGGAGGATACAGAGGTCGGATGATCAAATAGTGAAGATGAATCCCTTATGCGCCTAGATTTCTTCAGAACAATCATTCTAAAGGCGCCATCGGATTCATTCAAGCTGATCAAGAGAAACTTCTGAAAGGCAAGGATTAAAAGCAAGATTTTGAAGAATCCCTCAACCCCCGGCATCAAAGAACGAAATGAATGAATAACACCAAGGGGGAGATTGTAAGGATTTCTTCATGAAGCCTTTCCAAGAAGACAAAAGAAGCTGAACTGAAAGAATTTGATCGACTAAAGCGGTGCTAGACGCAATCAATGCTCGACTCGAAAAGAGGAGAATGCTGCACCAATATGAACATGCTCTAGCACTACAAAGCAACTACTACAAGAGGCAGAAGAATCCACAAGAGCCAACAACAGACATTTGATCACAAAGGGGGAGAATGTTAGAGATATTTTTAGTGTTGTGATCAATGTATTTTATATAGCCTCTTGGTAGTATTTATTGTGTATTTAATAGGCCTTAAATGTAAAAGGCTACTAAGCTAAATTAGGAATGGGCCTCCTAAAAAGGAGAGCCCATATCATTGTAAAACCTACCATTCTAAGGAGGCTATAAATAGACCCCTTAGGAATGGCTAGGTTAAGCTTTCCTCACTCAGAAAAATTCCCTGCGCATAGAATAGAGCCTACAGAAGTTTTACGCTACATATTCTTCATCTTTATGTAAACTTTCTGGCTATCAATGGAAAGCTTCTTCTACTCCTATTAATCAGATCTTATACATTATAGAGTAGAAATAGGGACCAACAAGCGGGTTGAGCAAAAATGTTATGTTTTTTACATTGTAAGTATTGATAATATCGGCGTGTTGGGCTTGAAACGCCGGTTAATAAACAACCCCAAAATGATTTTGATTTTTAGTTATACTAACGAAAAATCACTTATTTAGTCGATTATAACACTGATTTGTAATGCATATTCTACTGTAGGTATACGTCTCCTATACCCATGGTAATTGACTATTGGTATAAAATCCCGTTATATGACATTTTGTTTGTAGTATCTTATTTTTCTACTAATTATCCAAACATGTTTTCAGTCTATATTTTTCAATGAAAAGCGAATTTTTTTATGACTCAGTTATATCCAAATGAAAAGTTCATTTCAACTATCTTTACGTAAAAAAAAACGAATGCTCAATGTCTAGCTACTTTTAAGAAAATATCCTTAATAAGAAAGGATATTTTCTTATAAAAAAATTGAATCCAATTGAAAATATCCTTAATAAGAAAGGTGAACATAAATTTGAGATATCATTAAGAATATTGTGTATGTAACAAATTTTAACACTTGCAGTCTTGCTATTTTAATGTTTCCTACTTTAACTTATGATGTTTCACTCTTCTTCCCACTTTTAGGAATGATTTGGGGTTGCTAAAAGGATTTTTGTTTTCATATATTTCACTTTCTTTTTCGTTTATTACTTGTAGTTATTAGATTGAATTAAACAATTTTTAAAGGGTTATTTTTTCCTACTCATATGACTATGCGTCTATGCCGTCCTCCCATTTCACCTTCTACATCATTACAGATCAGAGTACTAATTCTTTTCGTTCACTTTATTTACTACAACCCTTCCATCTTATTTAGTATTTTTTGTTTCCTTTTCCCTTTACTTTGAAATTCTCATTTCATTTACGCATTCTTATACGAAATCAAATTGGAATCTTTACGCCCTTATTTAAAGGGATTGTGTCAATTTTTGAGGTCGGGTTCGCCATTACACACAGAATGGATATCTTTGTCGTTGATTTTTGGGTTTTAAGTCGGGCGGTCGTTGATAGTTATTCTATGGAAATACGATCTGTCATTTACCAAAGTTGCAATGGTCTCAGGTTGATAGATTGGAGGTATAATAAGGTTGTATTATTATTTGACTTTGTTAGTGGTGAGTATGGATATATAGATTGTTGATCTAATTCGAATATTAAATTTTGTTAATAGTTCTACTATTGGATTTTCAATTTTGTTTCGTATAAGAGTTTTAGGTTTCATATTTTCATGGCAACGGTACGCAAATGAAAAATGACTTTAAAAACATTAATTCGGGTTATAATGTTATTGTTTTAACGTACATCAATTATATGTTCATTTATAATGTGATATTATCCAATAATTCTACATCGTGTGCACATGTTTTGAGAAAGTTGGTACCTGAATTCATACTAATAAAACATCAAAGATTTATGTCGCAATATATGTTCGGGCATTCCATGTTTGGGGTGAGTAATATTTGTTTCAATTTTTGGATATTTGATATGAAGGATGGATATATTCATATATCTATGGATTAAAATATGGCATTATATTCTATATTTCTAATTACGATAATTGAATATATGAAAGTGGAATATATAAGAATAAAATCTTTTAACCACTCCAAATCATTTCAATAAAACTGTTTACAAATTATCTAATAACTTTCAAATCATTCCTAAAATTGGATAAAGAGTGGAACATGATAAAGTGAAAGTAGGTAAAATTTAAATAGCAAGACTACATGTGTTAAAATTTGAAAAATTCACATTTTCCTAAATGCCATCTCAAATTTATGTTCAACTTTCTAATTAAGGATATATTCATTGTGATGTCACAAAATTATACGAAGTATATTCTAACCTCTTTTCGTAAAGAAATAGGTTCGAAGGACCAATTGGCAAAATTTTAAAACCTAGAAGGCCTAATATTTGCAATAAAATTGACTACACCCATTTTTAAATTCTTAAATTACAAAAATGCGTGGTTAGTCTTGAAAAAAACAGTAAATCACATATGAAATTTAATGGATAAAAATAGGCATTGAGCATTTTTGGAGGGTTCGTTTCAACTCAGAGTTATAAAAAATTTCTCTTTTCATTGGAAAATATAGACCAAATACATGTTATAATTAATTAAAAATAAGATATACTCAATAAATATGAATATTCATTATAAACCAATGTTATAATCAATTAAGTAAAACTAAAATCTAAATTATTTTATCCGGAGCACGGCACGGACAATTTTTTTTAATTAGGGGTGTCATGCTTTTTTTCCCAGAATAGGAGTAATTAGTTAAAAACACTCGGATGTATTTTGTACTTAAGAATTGTTATTTCGTTAATTTAGAATTAAGCTACTTGAAATTCTACATTACAATGGAATTCTTTTTGAATGGCTTAATGGGAGATGGGACCCCGACCAAAATAAAAACTTCACTGGTCATTTGCATACCTATTTTTGCTTGGGAACAAAGTCAAATAGATCATTTTGATGTCTAAAATATACCATTTAAGTACATGTACTAAAAAATTATATAAATGTTTTTTATTTAAAAAATCAATCAATTTGGCTTTTTAACTGGTTTTAACCTGTAGAAGTAGGGTTTTTACATTAAAAACTTTAAAAATGTCAAAGTCTATATTTTTGCATTAAGAACTGTGTTTATATTCTGCATCTTTTTTAGAGTTATTCCATTTTAATTTTATATTTTTATAATTTTACTTTATTTTTTATTTTCTAATTTTAGATTTTTTATTTATTTTAACATGTTAAAAATATTTATATATTTTTGAACTCATACTGATGTTATATTATGATTACATTAGTTTTCAAATTTATATGGAATTTTGTACGATTAATCAATTGTTTTATTTAATTTTTTTAAATGACCTTCAATAGCAGGTTACAATGACTTGATTGATGATGGTTTTAAAGTAAATAAATTCATATGATACTTCTTTGAATAAATTGAAAACAATAATCTCAACAATTGTTAGTTTATTTACAATAATTCCAACTATTAATTATTTCTATATAATCCGAACTATGTGTCTTGTCCGCCAATAATGGTTCATGACTGGGTATAACATGTTATACCAGGTCACTATTAATCAGAATTATGCTTGTTCTTCTTTTAAATATCCCAATTATCAACATATTTTTTTATATAAAACACAAAAAAATGTTACTACGATTTCAAAATTAGGATTTTTTACAATTTAAAATTTATCTAAATCGAAAAATGTACCGCAGTTTAAAAATTAAAATCATTATTTTATATTTTGTGTTTTTCTAAAATAAAATATTTATGTTTTTTATATATATTATTTTTGGTTTCTTTTGCATATTCATGATTTTGTATGGATTTTAAATTATTTTAAAATTATTCAATATTTTAATTTTAAGTATTTAGAAAAAAGATTATCATTTTTTTCACTTTCTTAGTTTTAAAATTGTAGATCTTCATTTATTAACTTTGAATTTGTACTTTTGATTTTCACTCGTTTTTCCTCTAAATTTTTTATATTGGCCTATTTACTCCCTATATTTATAATTTTTATTTTCTGTATATATTAATAACATCTTAAATAATATAAAATTTTAATTTTGAAATTTATATAATTTTTCCATATTTTATATTTATATATTCTTTAATTTCATAAACTACCTAAGAAGTTTTTTTTGAAGAAACCTAAGAAGTTAATTATAGTAAAAATAATATGTATAATCAATTTTAACCACTTTTATGTATTTATGCAAATTTTATTTTAATTTTTAGGGCCCAATAAAAGTTGACAGATCAGATTGTCACACTCAGATACTTCTTTTGTAATTGACTAAACACGGTGTCGGGCACGTGAGACTATTAGAAGCACAAGGTCATTAATGTTCGAATTATTCTGAGATAATCTATAATTGGGACTATATATAATCAGTCAACCTGTAATAATTGAGATTATTGTTATCAATTTTCCTAGTTTTTAATATAATCAATTAAGTAATGAATTCAATATAATAGAATGGTCTATTTGACCTTTTTGTCTTATTTTCTTTGATCGACGATAGGGATGTTTAAGGCACAAATATAAGGACCGTTGATTTGCGAAAACTTCAAGAACAGTGTTATAATATTTTCATTTTTGTGTCCCACTTTTTGAAAAATTACTTAATAATATTCATATTGTATTCCAAATTATCCGAGCGTATACATTGAGAGTTCTTCAAAAATGAAAATGCTAAAGGCAATATGTCAAATTAAAATTTGAAGAATATTTTATTTTCCAAATAGAGTACGCTTTTAATCATGTTTTTAAACTATAATATACACTTATGCATAGCGTAAATTCTAGTTGAGTGCAATTCCAGAAATAAAAAATTAAGATCACATTTGATAAACACAATTTTCAGTTTATCAGTCTTATCAATCAACTTTTTCATAAACATGTAATTTTTTATTTTTCACGTTGAATTGTGTAAGAATCAAAATAATCAAAGTTGGACTTATTTTTCTAGCTAATTTGGTTGAAGTTATTACAAAATATAATTTGAGTGCAATTCTATTTGAGTGCAATTCTAGAAACAATATAAGAGACCCGTTTCATAAGGGATTGAGTTTTGGGACATGTTAAGATGTTTTTACTTTGCTTAGACCAGATCAGACTAAAAAAAATCAAACAGACCAGATCAGACTTAAACAGATCAAGCGAGACCAGAAAAATTTAATCTAATTAAAAACATTTGTATTACTTTTATTGGTATTGTGTTTAAATGAAAAAGTAGGAAAGAGAATGAGAGTATATGTATATTTTATTGAAAAAATTTCAAAAAAGTGAAAGAGAGACGATCATTATAGAACAACTCAAAATGGAAAAGAGAACATGCATTGGAGAACGGAGACGGTAATTAGGAAAAGACCATTGGAGAACGGAGACAGTATTTAGG